ATCTCTTTGGGATACAGCCCTAGAAGTGCTATTGCTGGATGAAAGGGTATGTACAGTGAATGATTGGATCAGTTTACAACTCCAACAATGCATTAGTGTTCCAATTTTCCCACATCTTCTCCAACATTTATCATTTTCCTGTTTTGTCCTGTTAGCCAATCTGATAGGTGTGTTGTGGTACCTCAGAGTTGTTTTAATTTGCATTTCTCTAATCAATAGTGATTTAGAGAATTTTTTTCACATAACTATATAGAGCTTTAATTTTTTCATCTTAAAATTGCTTCTTCATATCTTTTGACCATTTATCAACTGGGGAATGACTTATATTCTTATAAATTTGGCTCGGTTCTCTGTATATTTTAGAAATGAGGTCTTTATCAGAGATACTGGCTGTAAAAATTGTTTTCCAGCTTTCTGCTTTCCTTCTAATCTTGGTTGCATTGACTTTGTGCAAACCCTTTTTAATTTAATGTAATCAAAATTATCCATTTTGACCTTCATAATGTTCTCTATCTCTTTTCTGGTCATAAATTCTTCCCTTCTCCATAGATCTGATAGGTAAACTATTCCTTGTTCTCCTAGTTTGCTTATAGTTTCACCCTTTATGTCTTAATTGTGTACCCATTTTGACCTTATCTTAGCATAAGGCCAAAAAGAGTTCTTGGAAGAGCTTAAAAAGGACTTTAAAAATCAAATAAGAGAAATTGAGGAAAAATTTGGGAAAAATGAGAGTAATGCAAGAAAATGAAGAAAATTATGAAAAGAAAGTCAACCAGTTGGAAAAAGAGATCCAAAAACCTAGAGAAGAAAATAACTGCTTAAGAATTAGAATTAAGTAAGTGGAAGCTAATGACTTTATGGGACACTAAGAAATAATAAAATCAAAAGAATGAAGAAATAAAAGAAAATGGGAAATATCTCATTACAAAAACAACTGACCAGGAGAATAGATTAAGGAGAGACAATATAAGACTTATTGAATTACCTGAAAATAATGATCAGTAAAAGAGTCTAGACAGTATACTTCAAGAAATTATTAAGGAAAACTGCCCTAAACTTTTAGAATTAGAGGGTAAAATAGAAATCTGAAAATTGAAAAAAATCAACTGATCATCACCTGAAAGAGATCTCTTGGTGAAAACTCACAGGAACATTGTAGCTAAGTTTCTAAGCTCCCAGGTCAAGGAAATGATAAAACAAGCAAGTAGAAAAAAGCAATTTAAATAGGGTGGAGCTACAATCAAGATAACATAAGAATTAGTAGCTTCTACATTAAAAGACTGGAGAGCATGGAACATGATATACCAAAGAGCAAAGGAGCTAGGTTTGCAGTCAAGAATAACTTATCCAGCAAAGCTGAGTGTAATCCTGAAAGGAAAAAAAATTAATATTTAATGAATTAGAGGACTTTGAGGTATTCATGAGGAGAATACCAGAATGGAACAGAAAATTTGACACACAAGAAAAATAAGAGGTTAATATGAAAGACCAATTATAAAGGATTTAATAAGGTCAAACTGTTTACTTCTAATATGGGAAAAATTATCTGTAACTCTTAAAAATGTTATTATTACTAGGGTAGTTTGAAAGAATATACAAAGAAGGCTTGGGGTTGAGTTGAGTATGATCGTATGAGCCTGAAAAATATAATTGTGTAGAGAAAGGTAAAATGGAGCAGATACCTTGTACAAATGAGATGTGAATGGAAGAATTATTAAAGTGAAGGGCTCATAGTGCTAGAATCTTATTACCTTCAGAACTGGGTTAAAGAGGAAATAACATACATCCCAAAAGTATAAAAAATATTTTAACTTACAGAGAAATAGGAGGTCAAGGGAATAGGGTAAGGAGGAATTCTTAGAAGGATGTGCACATTAAGAAATAAAGAGGTCAAGGGAATATGATAAGGAATGAAATCTTAGAAAGGGTGCAGATTAGGGAGTCCAGTAAATTAGACGTCTGAGGAGGGATAGGGTAAAAATAGAGGGAGAGAAGGATAAACAGCGAAAAAAGATTGGGTGGAGGAAAATACGTAATTAGCAATTACAACTTGGAATTTGAATGGTATGAACTCACCCATAAAATGGAAATGGATAGCAGAATGGATTAAAAACCAGAATCTGACAATATGTTGTTTACAAAAAACACCTTTAAAAATGAGAGATACACAGAGAGTAAAAATTAAGAACTGGAGTAGAATTTATTATGTTTCAGCTGGTGCAAAAAAAAAAAGCACAGATGTAATAATCATGATCTCAGCGTTAAAACTAAAATAGATTTAATTAAAAGAGATAAAAAGTGAAACTACATTATGATAACAGGTATCACAAATAATGAAGTAATATACTAAACTTATATATACCAAATGCTATAGAATTAATATTTTTAAAGGAAAAGTTAAATGAATTACAGGTAGAAATAGATATTAAAACTATAATAGTTGGAGGACTTCAGAACTACGTAAATTTAACAAAAAAAATAAAGAAGTCAAGGAGATGAATAGAATCTTAGAAAAGCTCGATATGTTAGATCTGGAGAGGACTGATTGGGAATACAAAGAAATACACTTTTTTCTCAGTGGTACATGGTAGCTTTATAAAAACTGACCATATATTAGGGCATAAAACTTTAGAGTTAAATACAGAAAAGCAGAAATATTAAATGCATCCTTTCAGATCATAATGCAATAAAATTATATTTAATAAGGGACCATGGAAACATAGATTAAAAGTTAATTGGAGCCTAAGTAAACATCTTAAAGAATGAGTGGGTTAAAGAATAAGTCATAGAAACAATAAATAATTTTATTAAAGGGAATGATAATAATGAGACAGCATACTAAAACCTATGGGATTCAGCAAAAGTAGTAATCAGAGGAAAATTTTTATCTCTAAATGCTCATATCAATGAAATAGAAAAAGAACTGATCAAAGAATTGGGCATGCAATTAAAAAAAACTAGAAAAAAAAAACAAATTAAAAACCCCCAATTAAACACCAAATTGGAAATCCTAAAAATTAAAGATGAGATCAATATAATTAAATGTAAGAAAACCATTAAATTGATAAATAAAACTAATAATTGGTTTTATGAAAAACCAATACTGTAGATAAACCATTGGTTAATGTGATTTATTAAAAGTGTGAAGAAAATCAGATCACTAGTATCAAAAATGAAAAAGATGAATATACCACTAATGAAGATGAAATTAAAGCAATTGTTAGGAATTATTTTGCCTAATTATATGCCAATAAAGTTAACAATTTATGTGAAATGGAAGAGTGCTTACAAAAATATAAATTGCCTTGATTAACAGAAGAGGAAATATAATATTTAAAAACATCTATTTTTCAAATTTAGCATCTTTCAAGCTTCATAGAAATATTTCATCACTTACATATTTTGACACTGCTCTTGCTCTTATTACAAGTTTAGATTTCTTTTACTTTTTTAACTCAAGAGTTTAACAGTTTGAGGAGCTGATTAGCCAAACAGGGCTGTGTCACAATCTGGCCCCAGAGTACCATCAGGCTTTGATGACAATTTATAATGGTCTATAATATGACACAGACTATGACGTGGTATTCTTGATGGGTGTGGGTTGTGTCAATTCTTTCCAACATTTTTTGGAAAAGAGGAACTCTTTTAATATTAAAAATAATTACATCTCTCTCCACAAAAGTATCTGTTTTATAAATACCTGTTAAGTTAGAGAATAGATGATAAAAGTCAATATAAATTCAGTAATACTTTTATTTTTATCATTATTTTATTGTATAATAATTACCATTATCATAATGATGATGCTGATGTGATCTCCCTTACCTCTGAACTTTGAAATATGTTGTACTTATTACATATTGCTTCCTCTTTGTGTAAATTCATGTTCCCTATCTGGCCATAAGTTCCTTGGAAACAAGAATTATATTTTACCTTTATATCCCTTAGAGCATCTAGCACAGTGCCTTGTACATGGTAGACATTCGATAATTTTTTGTTGAATGAATGAAAGTATAGGTAACAGCATTAGACCTGAAAGAAACCTTTGGGATGATCTAGAGCTCAGGAAACTGTGGCCCAGGAGTTGAGACTCGTAGAAGGTCACATATGCAGTCGGTGGAAATCTCCTTCCTCCATGATGTCATTTCTTTTATGTTTTTAGTCTCAGTTTCTTAAAAGAAGTTTAAGATGGAAAACAGTTGTCACATGAAATGGCCAAAAGAATCAAGAAACTACTTAAAGCCAGGAAAAGCATCATCTTTCGAAGTTCAGGGATGTGAGCCATTGGCAGCATAGGTTTAGAGTGCAAACCCGTTTGCAAAACATTTCAAAGAAAGAATTATAGAAAAGTGTGAACAGTATTTGCCGCATGAAAGAGTACAAAGAAATTGACTAGAAAATGAAATTGAAAGCTTTCAGATCATGCCATATAAAAACTGACTGATGGACTCCAGAAAGATTACTTTTTATTTTTTATTATGCGATGCTTCCTAATGAAAGTTCAAAAAGTAAGAGTTTATCAGAACTTTGCTAAAATGACTTAATGGCATTTCTGCTGTTTTCATCAAGCAATGCCATTAATAAAAGAAATAATATAGAAGACAATTATAGTGTAAATGGAAACCATTAAAAAAACTACATTGTTATTGAATTTGCCCTTTAATTTCATTTACATATAGCTAAAGCATGAATAAAGTTTGATTTCTCTCAAATTTTCAAGAACTTTTTGGAAACTTTAAAAATAACTGATTTTTTTTCAACACAGTTTAAAATAAGAAAATCAAATAATGTCATTGGTTAATTGCTATGAACCCTTTAAGGGTCCTATTTTTAGTCCTACAAAAGAGGAAGCAATTATGGGACTATCTTGTATATGTAATTAAAAGAAGCAGTATCTCCCTTGTTGCGTTTTACAGAATTTCAAATGATAATTTTTAGGCTTATTAATATTTAAAACAATATTTTAATGTTAGTTGATGATCTTAGAATTCTGTTTTTAGCTGTTAACCTATGAGAGCCAGCTTACCAAGCTTCGATCTGAAGTTGAGAGAGGGGAGGCACTTCGACAGAGTCTTGAATATGAACTTGCTCTTGCTAGAAAGGAACTTGGCCTTGGAAGATTGGCTATTGAAGAAAAATTAGTCGAGGCACATAACAAGAATGAACAACTACGAGGTACATATATTTTTCTTGTTTTATCTTTCTAACTATGTCCATTGGTTTTATGTTGTATTGCTTGTATGTCTTCAAAATAAGACCCAAGATAAAGTTATGTTACCACCTTTTCTGGTAATTATATACACGCTTAACTGCTTTAGGGAACTTGCTTTGTGGACCCAGGTATGAATACAACAGTGTCCAGCTGATTAGTTGATTTGCTTAGAACCTGCTGCTTCTAGAATGACAGAATTGTGGGATTGATCTCTAATTAGTACAGGTAACTTTAATCTGCTTTACAGGTATAAATTTCATGTCTAATTTTGACCCACTGTTTCAGGTACTTGAAATTAGTCTCAAGTATATTTATATGTTTGGTCTGATTTTCATATGAAAGGCAAGTTAAATGTTTATTATTGCTACCTTTTAAAAATTTTCTCTCCTCATGTTAGTCAATTAAAAAATAATTTATTAAATTCCTGCTTTGAGCCAAGTACTGTGCTAGGTGTTTGGAATACAATGACTAAAAACAGAATAAAACTGAAACAGTCCTTGCCCACAGAGAGATTTTGTTTTTTTTCAGGGGAGACAATATCTATCTATGTAAGTATATGAAAGGTAGATATAAAAGAAATAAATTAATTTTGTGTTGGGAAGGCACTAGCAGCTGGGGGATCAGGAAGGGGTTTCTATAAAAGGTGGTGCTTGAGCTCAGTTTGGATGATACTTCTTTTCTCTGTCTGGCACATAGTAGGCACTTAATAAATGCTTGTTTATAGGTTGACTGAGTATTCCATTCCCCACTAAGATTGTTCTAAACTTTTTCTCCCCCTCCTTAAAGTTCCCACTCTGTTTCATCCCACTTCACTTTAAATCTCTGAGGAAGAGCTCAGGCCCTTTCTGTGTACCCATTCTCTTGTCTTCTCCAGAAGATGCCACCACATTCGTAACCTACCCTCTAGTTTTTGGTCTCTCCCCTGTTTATTGGCAATTTCTGTGCTGCTGATAAACACACCTAAGTCTTCCCCATTCTGGAAAAAAACAAAAACTAAAAACAAACCTGCACTTAACCTGACTCTCTCCTCTAGCTTTCTTCCTGGCTCTCTTTCCTTTTGTAATAGCCATACTCTTAGAAAAAAGCTACCTTAGCCATTTGCCTATACTTCCTCTCTCCTCAACACTTTGCAATCTGGTTTTTGACCTCAACTGAAACTGATCTCCCCAAAGTTATCAGTCATCTTCTGATCACCATGGCCAGTGGCCTCTTCTACAACTTCATCTTTCTTGATCTCTTTTGCAGCACTTGATGCTATCACCGTATCACCTCCAGGACATGCTCTCCTCTCTGAGTTTTTGTGACATTGCTCACTGTTGATTTTCCCCCTGCCTGTCTGAGTGCTTATTTTCAGTTTTCTTTGCTGGCTCACTGTCATAACTGCTGAGGTCTATGAGGTGTTTAGGGAGATCTAACACATCTGATATGGGAGCAACTGAGCCCTTTTAGGGCTGCTCATCCACTTGTGCCACCCAACTCTCACCTGTGGCTCCAAGAAGCTGTAGCATGTACAGCAGCCACACCTTGGTAAACTGTTTCAGTAGAGGGGCTAAACCAGGTTGAGGGTAATTGATGGGCCTCGAACGTGTTGGGGAGTTAGTGGAGTGTCTACCCCAAGCATGTGAAGACTTCCTCTAGCAGAATAGGTAGATGTGAACAGTTTGTTCCAACAGGCCTTGAAGGTGGCAGAAGCAGTTGCTGTGGAGCGCTTGGAGCTTTGTCAGACATCTAAGACACCACCGTCATCCCAGACCATTGTCAGTTGTCTTGACTTTTGTCTTGCCACTGGACTTCATCTGGAAGAGAGAGTAAGGCCGATAGCTTCCCACAACTCTTTCTTACTTATAAGTTTATGCATGTGTTAAAAGATATCACCCATACTATTTTACCATTTTTTATTTTACTACTCAACTATTTTACTATTTTATTATTTTTGTTGTTCAGTTGTATCTGATTCTTCATGATCCCATTTTGAGGTTTTCATGGCAAAGATAGGAGACTGGTTTGCCATTTCCTTCTCCAGCTCATTTTACAGATGAGGAAATTGAGGCAAACAGGGTTAAGTAACTTGCTCAGTGTCACATAGCTCGTAAATGTCTGAAGTTGGATTTGAACTCATGAAGATGAATCATCCTGATTTTAAGCCCAGTACTCTATCCACTGTACCACCTAGCTGTCTGTATTTTATTATTTTATTATGTTACTGTTTTGTCTACTTTGAAGTCTTGTGGTGACAGGCTAGTGACAAAGCAGCAGGAATAGATACACTGGGAACTGTAGTCACAACCCTGCACACAGATGGCCCATGCCATAGGGTCGTTTTCTCACTGGATTGAAGCAGCAATGAGATTCAGCAGCAACCTGGATGTCTTAGCAGCCTTTTTAAAGACCACACTGCTCACCTCCTGGCATGAGGAAGGGGCTAGAAAAGGTGCCATAAAAATAGTCTGCTTCACCTGCTTCACCTCCTTACTACAGCAGGCAAGAATTCCACCCTGCAGTCGAAAAACAAAAAAATGTACAAAAACTTTTGTGAAGATAATTTTGCTTACCATTGGTACGTGGAATGTGTGCACTGTTATGGACCAAATAAAACCAGTAGACTTAAAAGATGAAGAGCGCTTGTTGTGAGAGAACTCAGCAGGTATCCCATCCAAATGGCAGCCTTAGTGAAACAAAGCTGGCAAACAAAGGCCAACTTACTGAAGTTGGAGCTGTATACACGTTTTGAGTGGCCACCACAATGAGACATGTCATGAAGCTGGTATAGGTTTTGCAATCACATTTAATCTAGTCGACAAGCTTGTGTGCCTTCCACAAGAAGTGAATAACAGGCTCAATGACAGTGTGGTTGCCACTTTCAGGGAAGTGCCACACCCCCATCATCATTGAATATGCTCCCACCATGACCAACCCTGATGAACTCAAATAAAAATTTTATGAAGACCTGGAGACCCTCATCATCATTGTGCTGAAAGAAGACAAGCTTGTAATCCTGGGCAACTTTAATGCCAGAGTAGGCACAGACTATCAGACATGGCAGGGAGTTCTTGGGAGGAGTGGAGTTGGAAATGGCAACAATTTTGAATGCTGTGGGTAAGTTCATTTACCCTGCAGTATACTTTCCAGAGATGTCTACATAGATGACAAGGTTGATGCACACATTGCCGGAGCTAGCTCAGCATTTGGGAAACTCCAAAAGAATGTGTGAGAGAGAAGAAATATTAGGCTGCCTACCAAATTGAAGGTCTATAGAGCAATTGTGCTGACCTCATTGTTGTATGTCTGTGAAACCTGGACAGTATACCAGTGCCATGCCAAAAAATTTAATTGCTTCCATTTCAGTTGCCTTAGGAAGGGTCTGAAGATCACCTAGCAAGATAAGGTACTGGACATTGAGGTCCTTTCTCAAGCTGAACTGCCAGGCATTCAAACTCTACTTCAGAGAGCACAACTCTAGTAGACTGGCCCGTGTTATTCAAATGCCAAACATACATTTTCCATTTCCTTTTAGGCAATTGGGGTTAAGTGACTTGCCCAGGGTCACACAGCTAGTAAGTGTCCTTTATTCTGAGGCTGTATTTGAACTCAGGTCCTCCTGACTTCAGGGCCAGTGCTCTATCCACTGCGCCACCTAGCTGCCCCAATATGAGGAGGCAGGGGACACTGTTAATTAGAATCTAAATTCTTTTTTTTTTTTTTAACAATTGGAGTTAAATGACTTGCCCAGGGTGACACAGCTAGTAAGTGCCAAGTGTTTCGTCCGAGGCTGGATTTGAACTCAGGTCCTCCTGACTTCAGAGTTGGTGCTCTATCCTCTGCATCACCTAGCTGCCCCTTACATTTTCCGTAAAGACTATTTTAAAGACAACTCACACAAGGCAGAAGCTCACACAGAGGTCAGAAGAAGCTATACAAAGTTACTCTTAAGGTCTCTCTGAAGACCTTTAGTATCACTTGTAACACATGGGAGACACTAGCACAGGACCACCCAGCATGGGGTGCTATCATCAAAGAAGGTTCTGTGCTCTCTGAGCAAAGGAGAATTGTAGTAGCTCAAAAGAAACACAAGGCATGCAAAGATATGAGAATCGTCCTCTTCCCAAGTGTTCATGCTGATTATTTGTGCCTGACCTATGTTAAGAGTCTTCCAAGCTCGTATTGGTCTGATCAGCTTCAGTCAGACACATTGTATACTTGTTTCTCTTCATTTAAGGACAACAACGAAGTCGAAGCCCCTAATTATGAATATTCACCAAGACTGACTTGGCCCTTTTCTTGTCCCTCATTTGGTGACCTCATCACCTACCATGTGTCTGATTATTGTGTCTGTGCAGATGAATTCCAGATCTATGTATTCAACCCTAGTTTCTCTCCTGAGCTCTCTACCTGCATGTCTCTACCTGCTTATTGAATATTTCAAACTAATTAATTGAGTTAGAGAATGTTGCTAAAATGATAGCAATCAATGTAGATACTGTTTCTTACAACATTAGTTTAATCTGTTTAAAATTTTAAAAGGATGAACAGCATTTTTTAACTTTACTAAATCACTGTATTGTTAATATATTCTCATGTGTTTACTGCCTTTGGTTTGTATAGAAATTAAGATATATTTTATTGCCTATAATTTATTTAAGAGTAATATTTTTTACTTCTGAAAGTACTTTTGACTACATTTATAACTTTTAAGCTCTTTAGCATAGGAAACCTGCAAATGTGAATTTGTCTGGTATTGTTATTCATATTTTATTGATGTGGAAACTAGCTTTGGGAGGATCAGTGCCCCCCCAGCCTCCCCTGCGGTGGGAATGTCAAGACTAAAGCTAGGCAGCAGACACCTCTGAGATTTACATTTGGTTCTAAATATATTCAGAAGATATATACATATATATATGTCTATAAACATGTATTTTACCTTTATAGTACAGAATTCAGAGCTTCAAGGGAAGATAAATGAGATCGAGAAAGCATTTCAGACTTCTCAGTACAACTGGAAAGAAGAATGCAGAAGATTTGAATTGGATTTGGAGGAGAGAGACAACGTAATTCAAAACTGTAATCAAGAATATGATGTTCTTTTGAAGGAAAAAAATAGACTAGAAAATATTCTAAAGGTACAGTGTTCTTACTAAGAAAGTTTGGTTTGTTTACTTTTGGCTTGGAAGTCTAGTTTCAAGGTATTTTGTTGTAAACCAAGAAAATCTGACTTAGGAAAGATAAATAGCAAGTAGGGGCACACTGAGGCTTCTCATCATTTGTGCTTGTTTTATGTGTGTTTGTGTATGTGTGTATATTCATTTTCTCTCCTTCATTTTTATTTTATTTTATTTTTTGCATTTTTCTTAGTCTCTTTTGTAATCTATCATGTTAGAACTTTTGCTGTGAAAACATTTATAGATGTTTCTAGACCAAATGACAAGATAATTTGTCTGCATGAAATGCAAGAGATGACAAAAAATATAGCAATTTGCCACTCAAACAGTGACATATTTTGAGATTATATATGAATGGAATACATATTTTTGTTTGAACATAGCATGATGGCAGTAGAATATTTTATATATCTAGTTCAGATTCTAAATGTTATCCATGACACATATATAAACGTATAATGAATATTTAGTGTAATTATTTTATGGTATATTTCTTATTTGCATCCCTTAAAAGGATTATGTAGAGGGTATCATGTAGAAGTTGAAGGGTGATTTTGAGATGTCTGCTATTTTTAACAATGTGCAGTTCTATTGAATTCAACCTTTGAGTGCCTTCTGACTCTCAAACCAGTGCCCTTTTTACTGTTAACTCTATTGCCTGGAATTCATTTTAATGCTTAGAATATTCAACAATTCTCACAAGCCAAGGTTAGGGCAGCCCTGTTCAAATACACTGCATCCTTTCCACATCTTATGCTAAGGTCAGGTGTTGCCTCAGCTTTAACTCTTCCACTTTCAAATGTCTAAGTTCTTAGGTTTTGGTAGGTGCTTCTTCTGTCAGTTATGCTACTGTAGCAGTTTCTTTCTCTGTTTGCATGTGTCTTTTTTTAAAAGTGATGGTAATTGGAGGCAGATGGGTGGCACAGTGGATAGAGGACTGGCTCTGGTGTCAGGAGGACCTGAGTTCCATTGTAGCCTTAGACACTTACTAGTTAGCCGTATGACCCTGGACAAGTCACTTAACCCCTATTGCCTCCAAGAAAAAAAAAGTGATAGTAATAAATCAAGTAGCAGCATTAAATTTCATGATAGCTTTAGTAAACCTGTGAAATGTCGGAGTTTAGGGTGTTAGCTCATCATGTGTTTGGGTTCTTTTTTGAGAGAATGAAATGAGAAATGTAGGTTAATTGCCTAAGTAGGTTGGGTAGGGGAGCAGGGTACATGGCAGAAATAACACTTGTCATAATAAATGCTTAGTTTTGTTTTATCTGGGACCCAAACTCAAGAATCTTTAAGGAATGGCTGCCATAATCAAAGAACAGAAATAAAATAAATTTGGAAGATAAAAATTGAGGTAGAGATATGCAAAAGTTAGTTTATATATGCTAGTATGTGGTATTTTGATTATTGCCTTCTCTCCATTAATGATCACTGGTGTGATGGGGGCATAGATTGAGGCTGGAGAGACTTATATCAACCCTTTAGGAGAGAAGGAACATATTAGAGTCAAAGCATATTAATTATAACATAAATTTTAAAGAATGCTTACTTTATAGCCAACATCATTTGAATAATGCTTTCTACTTTCTTTTGTTTTTAAAAAAGTCCAAAATTATTCTGGAGAGTGAATTTAATTTTTAGTTTCCCCATTCCCATTTGACCTTATCATTCTTATTTCTCATAATACTTAGTCTTCATTACCCAGAATCATAGTTTTTTTTTTTTTTTTTAACAATCAAGGTGTTTTTTTGGCTGTATATGATGCTGTGCTCAAATAGCAGGTTGCATACTAGGATGCTAATATATATTCCTTGGAGTCTACTTCTCCCTTCTGTTGACTTATGTAAAACTACATAGTTTCCTATTCAGGTATACAAGGGTTTGATGCAACATAAGCATGATCTTTTTATTGATGAATTTCAATAAATTAAATAGTTGTAGTTTATTGTTAACTGAGGCATGTGTATATATATTTAAACAGGGTGGGGAGAGAGAATATTTATTGAATAGATGAATAAAAGCAAATTTTTATTTATGTGAAGGAGACATTGGATCAGCATCAGGAACAGAAGAATGAACTGGAATCTCATATCAGGGAAACAGCACTTGAGGAATTTAGATTACAAGCCGAACAATGGGAAACAGAAAGAAGAGAGTTACAATTTTTAGTACAGGTATTTAAAAATAGAAGTATATAGTTAGTACATTAAATGTGTCCTTTCAGTGCCTATGCTGTTAAAATGACATTGATGGTAACAGTGATTAGTTCTGCCAACTTATTTCAGGCATTAATTTCTTTATTGTATATCTTGATGCAGATTTTGGCTCCTTCATGCCTTAGCAGACAGTTTTTATGAGTTGTAGCATCTGATAGCTAGCCTTCTAATGATGAATCTCTCAGAACTTCTCCAGGCTGCTCCTCAGATGGTAGATCTGTTGCTGGATCCATACTTGAAGCCTTTCCAGTTTGGTCCAACTTGCAGAGCGTGGTTGTTCTAGATTAACATAGCATTTGAATTTTTTTTTGTAAATAGTATTTTTTCCCAGTTATATGTAAAGATAGTTTTCGACATTAATTTTTTATGAGATTTTGAGTTCTAATTTTTTCTCCCTCCTTCCCTGTCTTCCATTCCCTCTCTCCAAGACCGCAAGCAATCTGATATAGGTTATATATGTGCAATCATGTTAAACATATTTACACATTAATCATGTTTTGAAAGAAGAAACAGAACAAAAGGGGAAAACCACGATAAGAAAAAGCAAAAAACAAACAAAAAATGAAAATAGTATGCTTCAATCTGTATTCCGTCTCCATAGTTCTTTCTCTGGAAGCGGGTAGCATTTTCTATCATGAGTCTTTTGGAGTTGTCTTGGATCATTATATTGCTGAGAAGAGGTAAGTCTATTATAGTTGATTGTTGCACAATGTTGCCGTTATTGTACAACTTTCTCCTGGTTCTGGTCACTTCACTCAGCATCAGTTCATGTTAAGTCTTTCCAGGATAGTGTTTGAAAATTGAGTGTCACTACCATGTTATAATGAGGCATTCTAGCTTGAAAAAAGTATTTCATTTGGAATTATATTCACAAAGTAGTAACTAATCAGAGATCATCTAAGTTCAGCCTCTCATTTTACAGATGGGAAAACTGACAATATCATATTACTTTTGAGTGATAAAGCCAGGACCAGAACTAAGGTTTCTTTACTTCCTGGTTTATTGTTCTTTTTATTACACCAAACTGCCTCTGAAATACTATGTAACTTGGTTTGGAAGAAATATTCAAAGTGCCATTATTATTCCCATAGGACAAACTTAAAAGAAAAATTCTACCAGTCTACTAACATTGTTTGCTAGCCCTTCTTGAGATGATTTTGTACCAAAGCAGACAATAGACAACACTACAGTTTTCCCACTCTACTAAGTAAATAATAGACCAAATGATAGTTCTTTTAATACATTTATTGAACACAGATGCATGCATCACCAAAAATTAATATAGCCTTATGTTAGAAAATATTTCATAAGACGAATACTTTAAAAGGTGTTGAGGAAAAACAGTGTTATATGTTTTCTGGAAGTGTAAATCTTGAATTTATTCTGTATTTAAACATTCAGAATTCCAAAGTAAAATGTTATCTGTTCTTTATCTTAGACTTTGTCTTAGACCATCCTTGGATTCTGGTGCTGTTCTTTCCAGCTCTATCTTCCCTTCATTTTTTGTCTGAATGTTACAAAGTCCGTCTTCTCCACAAAAAATAAACCTGAACACTCAGAAATCTTCTATGTGCTTTGCCAGAGACATAAAACATTGTCCAGAGACCAACCTTAAATATATTGATGACAGGTATTTTTATGAACAATCTTCTAGCCAATTCTTGTTAAGCCAAAATGGATGAATTTGAGGTTATATCAAGTTATTGATACATTTTATAAGTGCCTCGTCATATCATTCTGATCTTTTTGTTCCACTCAAACTATTCCCTCTAAAGTTACTAATTATCCCTTAGTTATTAAACTCAGTGACCTTTTCTTAATCTTCATTGTCTTTGATCTATCTGTCTGCAGCCTTTGACGCTGTTGATCACATTGTCCTCCTTGATACTCTTCTTGTCTCTAGATTTTGGGGATATTGCTCTTTCCAGGTTCTTTTCCTCCCTATCTACCTGCTCCTTCTCTGTCTCCCTTCCTAGACCCCCCTCCAGATAATGTCCTCTAACCATAAGTGTCCCTTAGGGTTCTGTCCTAGGCCCTTTCCTCTTCCCTCTCTATACTACACTTAATGACCTCATCACTTCCTATGGATTTAATTATCATCTCTGTGCTGATGATTCTTAAATCTGCTTGTCCTACCCCAAACTCACTGCAGGCCTCCAAATTCACATCTCCTGCTGCCTTTCGGACATCTTGCATTGGATGTCCATTAGTCATCTTAAATTCAATATATCCAAAACAGAACTATTATCTTTTCCCCAAACCCTCCCTCCACTTCTACTTTCCCTATTACTGTAGAGGGCAACACTATCCTCCCAGTCCCCTAGTGTTGGAACCTAGGAGTCATACTGTATTCCTAATTATCTCTGAACCTCCCCCTTCCCCCATTCAATCTCTTGTCAAAGCCAGTCAATTTCACCTTTGCAACATTTCTTGAATATGATCCCTTCTGTCCTCTGACACTGCCAACCATTCTATTGTAGGCCTTCATCACCTCGCTCCTAGACTATTGCAGTAACCTGATGATGGGTCCATCCTCCATTCAGCCACTAAAATGATTTTCCTAAAGCACAGATATGACTCTGTCATTCTTATACTCAATAACCTGTGGTGGCTCCCAATTACCTCCAGAATCAATTACAAAATGCTCTGTTTGGCATTCAAAACCCTTCATGATCTAGTCCTCTTTAACCATTCTAGTCTTATACCTTGCTCCTCATCTTGTACTCTTCAATCCAGTGACACTGGCCTCCTGGCTGTTCCATGGACAAGACATTCCAGGCGTTCTCTCTGGCTGTCCCCTATGTCCAGAATGCTGTCCTTTGCTCTGACTACTACCTTCCCTGATATCCTTTAAGTACCAACTAAAATCTTATCTTCTATAAGTCTCCTTCTCTAACCTCTCTCTCTCTCTCTCACTCTCTCTCTTATGAGGCAGTGGGGTGAAGTGACTTACCCAGGGTCACATAGCTAGTAAGTGGTCAAGTGTCTTAGGCTCGTTTTGAACTCAGGTCTTCCTGAATCCAGGGTCGGTGTTTTATCCACTGAGCCATTTAGCTGCCCCTAACCTCTCTTTCTAATGCCTTCTCTCAGTTAATTATTTCCTATTTATCTTGCATATAGTTTACTTTGTATATGTTTATTTGCATGTCATTTCTCTTATTAGATTGTAAGCTCCTTGAGGGTGTGGACTGTCTTTTATCTCTTTTTGTATCCCCAGCCCTTAGTATAGTACTTGACAAAGAATAGGCATTTAATACATTTTTCTCGATTTTTTAAAAAACAAATTAAATGACAAACCTTGGTTTTCACTTGCTAACAATCTAAGATGGATAAACATCTGTAGACAGACATGTAGAACAATGCTTTATCCAACCTTTTTAATTTAATTTCTGAAATGCTACATAAACCAGAAGGTAAAGAATTTGTTGCTCCTTGATAAAAATTACTAGGTATGGACATTTGTGCTAGTAGAGAAGTGGGAAAAGATAAACTTTCACTATGATGAATAAAGGAAACAGTAAAATAAGGTATCGTATCAGGCCATAAGAGATAGCATATTGTAAGTATGATGTCTAGGACTGATGAATTGGTAGAAAAGTCTAGAGGGTTAGGCAGGTAGCAAGAGTAAGTCAGACTGGAGGTGGTGTTAGCCAGTGATGGGTTTGTCAGGTCATGCTAGGGAATAAAGAATGGGCCAGAGCTTGGTAGACAAAGGGCGGATGGATGTAGTATTCAAATGTCATCTGGGCTGTAGAAACTAGATTCGAGGAAAAATATCAGGAACAGATTTACACATATGGTAGGGATAGGACAGAAATGAATAGAGGCACAGTTGACATCATTGATAAGGAACCTATGCCAGGGTACTGGATAACATTGGAATAGGAACCTAAACAAAATGTCTGAGTAGCATTGTACTTGCAGTTAATACTACTCTTGTTCTTCCTATAGAGGCAACTAGATGATGCAGTATATAGAGCACCCGAAAGGGCTTAAAGTCAGGAAGACCTGAGACACTTACTGGCTCTGTGACCCTGGGCATGTCACTAACCTCCTTTTGCCTTAGTTTTCTCAGCTGTAAAATGAGGAATGTAAATAGCAATCACCTCACAGGGTCATTATGAGGATCAAATGAGATACACTTAAAGTGTTTGGCACAGTGCCTGGCACATAGATGCTTAGTAAATTCTTATTCATTTCTTTTCTTTCTTTATTTCCCTTCTTTTGCTTCTTCATTTCCCTGTTTCTTTTAAAGGTCTCACTATTCTTTCTGTCATTCAGGTTCGCAACTTTGGAGTCATCCTTGATTCTTCATCCTTCCTTATTCCTTACACTGAATTACTTTCCAAGTGTAGTTGATTCACTTATACGATGTCTTCCACATTTGTCCCCTTCTTTCCACTCTCCTAGTTCAGACTGTCTACTTCTCATCAGGACTGTTGTAATAGTCTCCCTTCATTCTCTGCCTTCTCCTCTGTATTTTCCACATAGCTGGCAAAGTGACATTCCTGCTATGCAAGTCCGACCATGTTGTGCACCTTGTTACTCTAGGTATAGGAATAAAAACCCTGATTGCCATTAACAGTTTTGCTCCAGCCTACCTTTCCAGGCACATAATACCTCTGCATGTGCTGTAGAGTATAGCCAAACTGACCTACTTGCTATTCCTTACACATAGCTTTGCTTTTTCTGTCTCCATGCCTTTATACAGGCTCTCGTCCTTTTCTAGAGCTCACTCCCTCCTTGCCTTCCTCTCTAAGATTCCACTGCATTCTTCAAAGCTCTGTTCAAGTGCTACTTCCTATAGGAAGCCTTTCCTGTTACTCTTTAGCTACTTGTGCTTCTCCCTCATCTCACACTTAACTTTTATTTATTTTGAATACATTTTTTATTTACTTATATGTATATATTATTTCTTCAGTTAAATGTAAGCAAGTTGAGGGCAAGAGTCATTTAGT